CACTTTTATGCAAAACATTGAGGCAAACTGAGGCACGTCTAGCCTGTACACGTGCAATTGGATGGTTTCAGCCTCATTAATAGCCACCCTGAGGACTGATTTGTCAAGTTCATATGCTGGTGCTTTCTTCTGGCATTTCTCCCACCTCCCTGGCTCCTGGTGCTTAGATTCCCTTCATAGGACGTCATTCCCCTGCTCCCTGCTAAAATGTCAGTACTTCCTCAATTTCATAGTCTAGCCTCTGAGAGTTGGATTAGCCACACTGTCCCATAATCTCTTCTCAGTGTATATCATTATAAACTCATCACACACCTAAATCTACAAGACTTGTTCTCCTTCCTGAACGAACCACCAGACCTAGGCTGAACAGCTCCTTCACCAACACTGAGTCAGTCCCTCTCAACACTGCCTTCGCCAACTCCCTGGATCCTACCCCTAAATCTCTTTCTGGTAAGATTATCAACACACACATCACAAACAAAGATGAAAGCATTAAAATCCTACCAGAACTGTTTCCTTTTCAGATATCCCACACAGCCCATCCACTAGTACCACGTCCTGTAAATCAGGCCTCCCTGGGAGCTCTCCACTCTGCCTCCGCCATAGTGAAGTCCACTGCAGGCTTTTCTGGGTGTAATTAACCTTCCACCTGATCTCCTGCCTCTGGTATGGCACCCAGCCCCAATCTATGCTTCCAGAGTGATGTCGCTAACCATCAGGGTTAATTCTGCCCTGTCCTTCCACCAGGATCTAAATGCCATGCTTTGTGCTCCTATTGCATCCTGAGGAAATCTCTGCAGTATATTGTAGTATTCATTGCACGTTATTGTCATTGTCCTGTCTTCCAAAGTGGCTGTGTTTCAGCCTCATGCTTTCATCTTTATTTGTGATGTGTATATTGATAATCTTACTAGAAAGAGATTTAGGGGTAGGAGCCAGGAAGTTGGTGAAGGCAGTGTTGAGAGTGACTGACTCAGTGTTGGGGAAGGGGCTGTTCAGCCTAGGTCCGGTGTTCGTTCAGGAGGGAGATCAAGTCTTGAGGTAATTTGGGTGTGTGATGAGCTTAGAATGATCTTTCTGCCATTTCTGCCAGCGGTGTATGGGACTGTTGCTCTACAGCTTCCCCGGTCATTGGTGATGTCAGTGTGGCCCTGTGGTCTTTGAAGCTCTTTCTTAGCTCACTCTTTTGTTTTGCTGGAGAACACCCTCAGACGTGTTTTAAAGGGCATAGAAAAGATAAACTCTCTAGATCCTTTTCTAACTGAAAATGTCTTCATTGTACCCTTGCATCTAATCAATACACTGACTAAGTATAGAAGTCTGGGATAAAATTAACTTTGCCTCTGGGGTTTGAAGGTGTGTCTCCATATTCTTTTTTAGCTCTAATGTTTTTGAGAAGCCTGGTGCCATGCTGATTTTTATATTTTTCTGTAAATGACCTGTTTTTCCTTTCTGAGGGCATCTAGAACCTTCTTTGTGTCCCTGTGCTTTGAAATGTCACAATAAAGTGTGATTTGAGCTGGGCCAGACAGAAGTTTGATTGGCAGAAAAGCAGGGGACTGCTCTATAGGACAGTAACTGGCACAGAGGTGGGAAATGGGGAGCATTTGGGGGATCTGGATTAAGCTCTCAAAGACTTTTTTGGAACTCACCAACTTGTCCTATGTAATGGCAGGTTATAGAACCTGTGTACGTTTTGTCTTATATTGAAGATGAAGGATGTTAACACCTACCTCCCAGAGTTGTTGAGAGAATAAAATTAGATGAAATGAACATTTAAAAATGGGAAAGTTATTATTTTGGAAGCAGGGAGAACCCCCTGAAGAGATAATAGCTCTGCCTTCTATTTTAATCTTATCAGAATGCTTTGCTAGGCCCTTAGGTGGGTAGAGGTGGTCTCTAGGGACTGGACATTGAGCTGGATGTTCTGATAAGCTGAGGGAGGGACATACTACCCTTAATAATAAAGGGTAGTGGGAATATTCAAAACAAAAGCAACAGGAGTATGGAATATATACAAAACAGGCATCTGAGTCATTTTTCCAGCCTGCTGAGGCCCCCTTAACCAGGTTTACCCCCAACTGGAAGCTACACTTAAGTCCCTACAGTTTTCTGAAGTCTACACCTGGAGCTTCTGTGATTGCCACAGCAACGGTTCACCTGGACTGGAATGATTCTCATCCTCAATAGAGTGGCTTTTGATTCTGCCCAAATACAAAAGATATGTAATTTTACAATTAAATAGCATATGCAAAGAGCCCCGATACATAATATAGATTTCATGGGTGCTAGTTTCCTCCATCTTATCTCCCCCAACTAAGAGGAAAGCAACCAATTGTTTCTCATTACCATAAACAACAGATATAAAAGATGGAAATTTAATTTTTACAGAAATAAAAAGAAAGATTAAAGAAAGAGTTGTGCACTTTGACCATAGGATTGAAGCAACAACAAAGAGGTCAGGTTATAGATAATTTTAAAATAGGACTGGTGCTCTCCTGTCTGGAAACTGAAGACTAGAACTCCCTAATCATCAGTAACATGAACTAAATGTCCCATTGTGTCAAGTGCACTGAATGAGATACTGTGCTATTTTTGAAGGCAGAACACCATGTGATTCCTTAAAAAAAATTTTTTAAAAAAGGATTGCAGATATAAAGATAGCCATAATCAAACAAAATTCAAATACCTAAAAACCAAACAAAACCTCCCACACAAAAATTTTTGGGTATTTTGGCTATGCTTTGACTACCATGGTATATTTCTTCCATTGATAATAATGATCTTGTGTACAACATGTCCTAATACCATTATACCCTTTAAAGGATTTAGGATAGCAACTGTGAATCAGAAGGTATACCTTCTTACTTTAACTGCTAATGTTCTATTGGAAGCGAAGGTTATTATAGAAATAATATGTGACTACTTCTTCCCGAGGAACTTATCTAAAAAATGATATTTTTGTGTAAAAAGATTCATGTTCAAGTACAACATTAAGAAATTGTGCCCTTCTGCTTAGTCTCCTATTTTGACATCTATGTCATTATTGCTGTGCTTGTTAAATTTAAATTTCTCTTTCCTACTTGACTGTAACTTCTTGGGCACAGAGAATGTGTAGTGTGTATTTTTTTTTTAAGTTTCTGAAGCGAGATAGGGGCTCAAACAATTTTGCAAAATGAGTAAATGAATGAATGATGTAGTATTCGATACTGCATAAAGATAAGATTCAGAGGAGTTTAAAATCAATGGCATGCCCTGCCAATGTCGCTCAGTGGTTGGGCATTGACCCATGAACCAAGAGAACCCTGGTTCAACTCCTGATCAGGGCACTTGCCCAGGTTGCGAGCTTGATCACCCCAGTAGGGCATGCACAGGAGGCAACCGATTGATGTTTCTCTCTATTGATGTTTCTATATCTCTCTCCCTCTCCCTTACTCTCGCTCAAAAAATATATATAAATAAAAACATATTTTAAATAAAATAAAATCAATAGCATATGGTAATCCAAAGCTAAATTATTAAAAGAAAGTCTGATAGAGATTTCTTTGATCCTACATATATAAGTGCACTCTTATATTTTAACTATATGATTATAACTTCCTAGTTCATAAGATAAAAATGAAGTAAAATTGTATATCCAGAGCATTAGGGACTTGTTTAGCCTGGTAGCCTTTCACAGGTGCAATTTATTTTTACAGTGAAGAGAACACTGAATCTTCCCAGAATAACCTGATTCCAACAGAGTTAAATAAAGTTGTTCATTTTTCCAGGGTTTTGACATATTTCTGTCTTTGGAGACTGTGAAGTAAATCTCTATTTCCCAAAAGCCCCTGTACTGATTTTAATGATCCTGTCCACGTGACAAACATTTTTTTTTTAATTTCATCGCTATTAGTGAATGACAAGTGAAGGATATTCATTTTAACTTGAAAATGTCAGGTATGCACTTTAAGAGATATATTTTTGCAGCTTTTAATGAGGTGTGTTTCTTTCTGAAAGAAATACTCATCTCTGATGTGGGTGCTGTATAGGTGACAACTGATATTTAATAAGCGATGGTTCTTGTATTAGTCACAGTTCTCTAAAGAAAATGTCTCAGATTGCTTTTGAAAAACTCTCAGCATCACTAGCCCAAAGGCAAGATGTGACCTTTTTATTACATAATGATAATCATTTATTATCTCCCAATGTATCTTAAAGTCACAGACAAAATGCCACTTTGATAATTGCTTTCAATTAGCTTTGAGCATAGCGTATATTCACAAAATGTCTTCTCCAATTTAGACTTGAATTAGAGAAAATTGCAGACATAATCTACTTTAAGCTTGTCTCATTTAAGGTGATTCGTAGTTTTATATCAAAGAAATCCAAACGAGTAGCTTTAGAACAGTCTCTCAAAGTGTTTTAAGTAGGCTTTTCAATATTTGATTTTATTCTATTACCAATTAATTAACAAATTAGAAAAGTAGTTCATCATTCCTGACCTTTTATGCATGTTAGCTTGTGAGGTTCAGTTCTAATGATTGTTTTGAAATTAAGCCTTTCAGTTCGTGTTGAAAGAGAGAAACAATCTGATTAGTAACATAAATAAAGCTTGCCTTGATACCAAGTGCCTCTTGATGTTTGACTATAGCTGGGATTTCGAATACTATAATCACGCATCCTTTTCTGCGTTAAACAAATGAAACGTAACTAGTGGTTAATAAATTATACTAGATAATCATGTAACCTAAATAAAGAATTGGGAATTGTTATTACAAGCGAGATTAGAAGTAACATGATAATTAAAAGGAAATCTCGGTTAATTTTAATGTTTTTTGTACCTTGAGCATTGGAATATGGTTCAAATGCTTAGTTTTATCTCTCTTAAAAATAGTTTTTTAAATAATAGAAATTCAGAAACTACCTTTTTATACTTGTGGTGTTTTAGTAATTAGTTTAAGATTCTCGGAGATTGGTATGATATCTGGAAATTACTCTTTCTTTCTTTTCTTTCCTAGATAAAAATTACACACAAGAACCAAGCCCCAATGCTGATGGGCCCTCCTCCAAAAACTGGGTTGTTCTGCTCCCTCGTCCAAAGAACAAGAAACCGAAGCAAGGAATAATCCCTGTGTCGTTTCATTCTTAGAGATCTAATTATCATAATTGGGCCATGGAAAACTTATGCTGGAAATCTTTGAATCCTTTCAAGTCTCCTACTCATGCAAAATCATGGAATTGATTTAATGGCTTTTGTTACTGAGTTCATGTAAAACTCATCTATTAGAAAATTTGTCTGAGTTCTTATGGGCATCCTTGCATGAAGAAAGCAGAAGTTTACGTGAAGTGATACTGCATATTTTTGTTGCATGCATTCCTATAGGTTTTCATGTCTACCATCCATTCCTCCCCACGTTCTATTTCGTAACCTGTGATTAAAAAACTAAACAAAAAAAACACACGTTTAAACATAAAAAAAGGAAATACCGTGGAAAATGTGACTCTCGGTGTGATTTCAGTTATCAATAAGTACTGATCAGTAATGCTACACTGATCAAAGTTGCAGATTACTTTAGTTTTTCCCTTTTAGAATCAGTATACCAATAGTCTTTGACCTATGACTTGAGGAGAAACTTTTCTCGAACGATTTTATTAAATAGTGGTATATGATACCTTGTTGTACCTATTTTTTTCTTTAACTTCTTAATGCTTCTGAGTGGAATTTAAAATGTCAGCCATAAAATTTTCTTGTGCTGAAAAAGAGAAAGTGGTTTTTTATTTTGTTTAGTTTTGTTTTTTATTCCAGAAATAAGTGAAAACATGTTACTTAGCAGTAAGGTGTGGTACTATGACAAGCCTTATTCCTTTCTGCATGTAAATCTAGGAGATTATTCATAACCACATCAGTAACCAAATAGGTGTTTTAAACTATGTGCCTAACAAGCTGTGTTTCCCACCAAAGATTCACAAAACGATGCCTGAGAGAAATGTTTTAATAATTAATTATGGGGGAAATTTATGGTTCTTATGATTAATTCTGTGATGACTAAAACTGTGGAAGAGAGTGAATTACCCATTAATTATAATTAAAATTCTCATCGTTCAGAAATAGTGGGTCATACAACATTATCAAAGCTCAATATTATTAACTTAACAGAAGTTATACACAAAAAGCTGATTTCTTGCTTTTTTTTTTTTTTTTTTTTTTTTGTCCGTTGTATAACTGTCTATAATTTTTCATGGATCAGTTAAGTCCACTTGAGAAAGTATATGGTTGTATCAGTTTTTTCTAATATAAATTGATACCTGTAATAATATTGAGCTCACTGAGAAAAAACATGCATGCAGTTAGCCTCCTCACCTACTCCACTCCCATCTCTATGACTTTTTAAATGTGTATTTGGAAATAACGGTCTAGATTATTGTTTAATATATTCATGGCATTGTTGGATTTTCTGAGTGTCTAAGAAAATTGTGGAATAGTACTTTCCTAGTGTTTCATTTAACCTATGATATAAAGTGAAATGCTATTCTGAGCAGTTCAGTGTTGTTCATTCATATTGACCTGAGCCTCATCTTTGCATGTTTTATGTTTTCAAACATGCCATAAGGAAAACAAGTGCTTGAAATGCATGATTTATTAGTTTCTCTCACCACTCTGCATTAAAGTACTAATGATTTATCAGTTCTGTTTTTTTATTGATTCGTTCATCTTTGCATAAAAAGCATTTAGTGATTCTGTTGAACACAATCCTGTGCATGGATTTATGGATTTCAAGTAAAATTGCTATAATTTTAGTTCTTCGGTTTGAAAATTCATGTGAATGCTGTTGTATGAAATAGCTAGTCTCAAGCAATGTATTGTAGTGGAAGATTATGTATAAAAAATATTCTTTTTTGTGTTCCAGGAACATTAGGTGGTAAATATCAATCAACGATAAGTTTAATTGCTTTGAAAATAAAAGCTTTGAATAAAATTAATACATAATTTAGCATTCCCAAGAAAACTATTATTACAATTGCAAATGTAGCACAGCAATCCCTTTCCTTAGTGCACATATTTTTAAAATGGTATTTGGCAGAACAGTAAATTATACCAAAAGAAATTTCAAAACAGTGAAAAATGCATTGCTGATATAATGTTACATAACACACACATTTTGTGTGTAGTATCTATGGTTGCAGGTAATAAATATTTTCACATACACTGACAAAATTGTGTATAATGGTCAGACAAGCCTTGTGTCAAATACATATTCTGAAGCCACATATTATTTTATGTTCAGTACAACATGCAATTATTTCTTGGCCACGTTTTAGAGTATATAGTTTGAAGGCTGCAGCACTTTGTGAATCATTCTTAACGATCTGTGCAGTAGAAAAGACAGTGGGATGAGACAAATCAAACAACCGGCCTCTATGACTTCAATAATTGAAATAATGGGATGCAGATTTACAACTATCATCACTGTTACTAGTCATTCCATTTTCAGCCAATGGGAATCACTGGTAACAATAATAGATACTCAAGTAGCGATCAAATTTTACATTTCAAAACTCATTTTCTAAAGATACTCATTCGCTTGCCCCTCAAGTACACTACTCATGGGCTTTGGGAAGCAGTTTATAAAAGCCCACTTTGATGGTTTTAAAATATTCTTCCCATTTTTATGATAGCTTCAAGGGAAGAATATTTACTTAAAGAAGATTTCTAAACTGAAAGTTCTATGGTAGATTAAACTACTGAATAATGAATGTTAGCTTTACAAGATTCAATTTTTTCTTGTGTGTGTGTGGGTGACTGAGTTGTTGGGTCAACCTCTTTAAATATGGTAGACCTAGCAGTATAAAGTTATACATGGATGAAGCTCTTAAATAAACCCTGAGTTGATAAGGGTTGAAGGAAAAGGGGAAAAGAGATATGCACTTTGGGAAGCATTGTCATACAGTTAGCTGATAAACAGAGAAAGAGATTTCAAAATAAACCTGAACAGCCATGCTTCTAATAGGAATGAGGTCTCTATGTAGAGCCAGAAATTTTAAAGGATGTATTTTTCTACTTAGATATATATATATATCATGTGTATTTGATTCAAAAAGTGCATGTCAGCTTATTATGGAGAAAGAAGATATATGGTAGGAAGAGAAAAAAATAACATTTAAATTTTTTATTTTTTAAACAGGTAATCATGATTATAACCAGAATAAAGCAAAAGGCTTTATTTATGTTTAGGGACCCCTACTATAGGCAGAAATTGAAATCCAATGAGAATAAATAGATCATATTTATGGTTCAGTATCTTGTTATTTTTCCCCCATTTCTTTAGAGGGATGGGAAGCAATTGCAATTTTCAAGAAAGAATCTGTTTTGAATCTTGTACTATATTGTACTTGAATGAGACAAAACTTTTAAATGGCTCCATTCACTTTTTGTGTCAAAGTTAGTTCCACTGTTTATTACTTACAAAGATAAAAATGTAATTTTCATAATACATATAGCCCCATCAACTTATTCAAATCCAATACATATATTCTAAATTTAAAAAGATCGAGCCCTTATACATTGAAGTGTAAAGTTTAAATAAACAAAGCAAAGAGAAACCTGCAAAAGAGCTTTTATTTTGTGAAAGGCAGCAATCACTTCTTAAATCCCCCAGTTAAATTGCATTCTATTTAAATAAACTTTGGATAAACTCACATTGGAAGGATTCTGTACATCCTTATTGTGTTTACCATGCTATTCATTTAATTACAGTATCTTATTTTCTCAGAAAGTGTTATATATGGTATTCTGTTTTTGAAATAAAAATGTTAACTGTTCAGATAAGTGTCATTTATTACTGCCATTTTGGTCAGATTTTGTCCACATATGAACTCTTCAAGCATTTAAAGAATATCCACCAGGCCAGTCAGCAACCCTGGTTTTTGTTGGGGAGGAAGGAGTATGAGTAATTGTGTGCTGTTAAAAGCCAGATCAGCCCTAACCAGTTTGGCTCAGTGGATAGAGCATTGGCCTACAGACAAAGGTCCTAGGTTCGATTCTGGTCAAGGGCATGTACCTTTGTTGCAGGCACATCACCAGTAGGGAGTGTGCAGGAGGCAGCTGATCAGTGTTTCTCAATCGATGTTTCTAACTCTCTATCCTTCTCCCTTACTCTCTGTAAAAAACCAAGCCACATCATTCTACTGTGTGGTACTTTGGCCCAAGTTGCTGCTACATTATTCTAGCAATTCCAGAAATTCCAGAATGGGGATTGAATGACTAGGTCAGAGGGTCTGTGAGGGTTTAAATAAAATTTTCTGGATTAAACCAATTTTTAATTTTATTTTGTGTAACAGACTTCAACAAATATCTCATGGGCACTGACTATGTACAAGATATTTTACAAAGAGGATGCAGCAATTAAAGAATTTTTTTTTCAAGTGAGGTATCTCTTTCCTAAAAGTCTTTTTAAGTATTAGAAGAGTTAAGTAAAAGAATGGTCATATTACATGATGTAGTAAGGCAAAAGCCCAGGTAAGCAAAATGTGATACATATTCAAATGACCAAAGATGATTTGGTGGGAGGAATTCATAACTGCCTCTAAAAATGACAAATCTTCAAATGGCTTTTCAAGGTAGCTAGAATTTTACATGGAGAAGTAGCATGAAGGAATTCCTGAATAAAAGAAGGTGAAGACATGGAGAGAGAAATCAAGTCCTGGATCTTTCATTGCCTCATTTCATACAAAGGTTACACAATTTATAAATTAGATATTTGGGTGGTGGTTCTTAAAATTATTAGGAAAAAAAGCAAGAGAATGAGAGAGGAGCAGAGAAAAGATGTAATAAGGGAGGAAGGGCATAAGGGAAGGAGAGAGGAATAAGGCAAACACCAAACTTAGGATTGATTGTAAGAATTTCTCATTCTGGAAGAGAGAATAGAATAAACAATTCACAGGTGTTCTTGGAGTTTCACTAATTTTTAATTACAATTTACTTTCAATATAATTTTACTTTAGTGTCAGGTATAGAGCATATTTTGGGGTTTTTTTAGATTCCACATATAAGTGAAATCATATGGTATTTGTCTTTGACTGACATATTTCACTGAGTATAATACCTTCTAGGTCCATTCATGCTTCCACAAATGATTTTTTTTTAATTGGTGGAATATTAATCAGTAGTAAAAAGAATGAAATCTTCTAATTTACTCGTTATATTGTTCTCTGTGCTTTTCCCTCCATCCCACTCACCATACCTCAAACTGGAACCAACAATATCCATATTTCATTGTCAGCACTCAAATTCTGCACTGAATATACAGTACATACTACCTCTGGCATCCATTCTGACCCATATCTCTTTAGAGAACCTCAGAACCTTTGATTGGTGCTCACAGCTGACAGATCATAAAGCCTGTTGTAATAATCACTACTTCTGACAGTCCCCCAGCTACACAGCCACAAGGCCTGCAGAGAACTCCCCTTGTTCCTATTACACCATCCAGGCCCGGCAGACCCAGAGGAGAACTCCTGGGTGTAGAGCTAGTGTCTACCAGCCGTTACACCTCATGTCTCTCACATGCTGGCACCTACCCTCCTAAGCTCCAGCCAGACACCGGTAGAGAGGTCAGTAGACCCCACCCTGCCAGCATACACTCCTTCAGTGTTGCCCTCTCAGGAACCATGGTTGAAACTGCAGAATCTATGGACTTCGTGGATCTTAGTCTGCAAGAAAGAAGGGAAAGGGCTGGAAAAGCAGGGGTGTGTGAGCAAAAATGAGAGGCATTCCCTAGCTTGTTGGTTGTGGTATAAGCACAGGCAGTGTGTAAGGACAGGCAACAAGGTGTGAAAGGAGGCTGCAGCGGACAGAGAAGGCCGATGGAGCAATATGCAATTAAGGCAGCTCCTACTTTCTACTCTCCCCATGAATTACTACCCCATTTAAGTGAAGGACTTTGTTAAAACCCAGCAAAACCTGCTCCATCACAGTCATTAACAATGTTAATTTTATTAATAAAAGCAGGAACCAACGCTTATATGGTGCTTGCTCTGTTTCATACACAATTTTAGACATAAATAAACTAACTCATTTGAGTTCTATAATTATCAATTCTCAATTCACTCACTATAAAACCGAGGCACAGAGATATTTAAAACATAACTTATGGATCGGTCCAGCACAGGATCTACCTGTCCAAAGATACTGGGTGTAGTGGACACGTGGACACATGTCTTCTATTCTGAATGCTGGAGAGATGGTAGATAGAATGATGCCTGCCTCCCAAAAGCTGTACCCACTGAACTCTGACACCTGCAAGTAGTTTGTGTTACCTGGCAGCAAGGAATTAAGACTCAGGTAGATGAAGGAGGCTCAGCAGCAGGCTTTAATGTGAGCGAGTGCCTGGATTAGGCAGGTGGGCCCAATGTCATCTCAGGGCCCTTTAAAAGGAGGAGGGAGGCAGGCCAGGTGGTCGGAGTCAGAGGGCATTAGGACAGTGTTTCCCAACCTTCTCTCATGATGAGAATCACCTGGTGGAGTTGTTAAAACACAGATTCCCGGCTCCCAACTAAGAAGTGCTAAACTAGAATTTTTGGGAACATATAGGTAAAATTGTATACTTAACTAGTGTTCTAAGACAGATTTTATATACAGAGCACTAAGTTAGGTATGCAATTTTACCTATATGTTCTCAAAAATTCTAGTTTAGCACTTCTTAGTTGGGATCCGGGAATCTGTGTTTTAACAACTCCACCAGGTGATTCTCATCATGAGAGAAGGTTGGGAAACACTGCATTAGGACGTGCTTTGCTGCTGCCTCTGAAGATGGCGGAAGGGAGGCCACAGGCCGCAGACTCAGGGCCTCCAGACATTGCAAAGGTAAGGGAACATTGTTTCCAGCAGGAACACACCATTTTGGTTTCAGCCCACTGAGACGCACTGTGGAATCCTGGCCCAGAGCACTATTAGAAATGTGTGTTGTTTTAAGGGACTGAGTGATGATTTGTGCAGACAGCAATAGGAAACTAACATAGGTAGGTGGGAAGGTCGAATATCCATGTACAGACCTATGGCTGCCCTTAAATGCCTTTTAAAATAGAGCTAAAGGCCCTAGCCCAGTGGTCAGCAAACAGCAGCTCGCGAGCCACATGCAGCTCTTTGGTCCCTTGAGTGTGGCTCTTCCGCAAAATACCACAGCCTGGGCGAATCTATTTTGAAGAAGTGGCATTAAAAGAAGTTTAAGTTTAAAAAATTTGACTCTCAAAAGAAATTTCAATCATTGTACTGTTGCTATTTGGCTCTGTTGACTAATGAGTTTGCCGACCACTGCCCTAGCCAGTTTGGCTCAGTGGATAGAGCATTAGCCTGCAGACCAAAGGGTTGCAGGCTCCTTCCTGGCCCAGGCCATGGTTGGGCTCCCAGGAGATAACCAAGCGATGTGTTTCTCTTACGTCACTATCTTTCTGTCTTTTCTTCTCTCTTCTACTCTCTCTAAAAATCAATGGAAAGTATCTCAGATGAGGATTAAAAATAGAGCAAAAGTTCTCTCTTTAAACCTTAATGCATTTGAATTGCTTCATGTTCATGAAAAAACATGTGGATACCTCAAATCCAGTATACATATTCTCACCTCATGTTGATAAATTGATGGGGGAAGAAAGAGAGGTTATTTCCTAGTTCATTAGTTTTTTTTATTGATATCACTTTAAGAAGGAAAAAAAATAAAAGCATTTGTTGTGATAAAACCTATTTCACGGAGACAGTGATCTCTGTAACATTTTTTTAAAAATATATATTTTATTGACTTTTTAAGAGAGAAAGAGAAAGGGATAAAGAGTTAAAAACTTCAATGAGAGAGAATCATCGATCAGCTGCCTTCGGCAGACTTTCTACTGGGGATATGCCTGCAACCAACATGCCCTTGACCGGAATCGAACCTGGAACCTTTCAGTCTGCAGGCTGATGCTCGATGCACTGAGCCAAATCGGTTTTGGCTCCATAACATTTTTCAAGTGATATATTTAATCCTGGTTTTAGTTATTTGGAAATTTGCAAAATAATAATGTTTGTTTTCCTTTCTTGAAACACTTTCTATTTTTGTCTGCAGGGATAAGAAAATAAAAGGTGAGAGTGCAGGAGAGGTCTTGAATACGCCTCTGAAGTTAATTTTATTTATATCTGCCCACAGTTTTCCCACACATTTGCTTTGTAAGTTTAGCTGAACAGGGGGAGCTAATGAAGTGGCCCCTACCTGCTGGGTCAGAGCCTGGCTTGCCTTCAAGTTGCTATCCCAATTTGAAGTTCTTGAACCAGAGTGTGCTTTGCAAATGCTAATGGATTTAAACTAGTTTATGTTTCAATTACTAGGTGCTTGGAAGTGAAAATCAAAGTACTTTGGAGATATTTTAGAGTGTAAAGACCTTTTGGTTTATAGATCAGGATTTCCCGAGTCCAAGGAAGGTTGCAGGTAGCAAGAAAACTGAGCATGCCTATCTATAACTTGAGTCTTTTCCTATTCTAGAGCCTTCACGCTTATAACAGAGTTTATGTGGCTACCAGAGACTCCATTGTCTTTCAAACACATGGGAAACCTTAATTCAGTGGTTTGTTTAGTACAGTTTAGTGATAAAGATACTCTCAACTACACTCTACTCAGTCTCCTCTGAACTGTTTATCAACTAAGCCTTAATTTTGGACTTCATGCTTCTCTCTGCATTGTTACATTGTTAGCAAGAATCCTGCCCAGCCAAAATCCATTTGCTCAGTGGACTCAGAACGTCAGTCTGCAGACTGAAAGGTCCCAGGTTCGATTCCAATCAAGGGCATGCACATTGGTTG